CCACTGGAATTATGTAAAATGGCAAATTGTTCAAATATCCAATTATTTTTTTCTACAAAAAGAATAATAATTATACATCTTCCTACTTCATTGTGTTTTTAGGAAATTTTTAAAAATGTATTCAATGTTCTTAGCATTTTACCTGTTCAATAAGTGCACATAAATGCTGTTGACAGAATAACATAAATAGATCATTTTGTAAAATATGTGCATGTTTATTTTGGTTTAGACATTGATACTGACTGCATATACATATAGTCATAAACCTCAGCTATTTAAATGCTTATCTCATTAGGTGTAAGCATGATTTTTGTTGTATTCATTTATCTTGGTTTAACCAAGATATTTATATTCTCTAAATTTTGTATGTGGAATTGAGTATCAGTCAGGTGTTCTCCTGCAACAACACCTCCCTCCAAAATCTCACTTGTTTAAAACAACAGGAACTTCTTTCTGACTCATATTATAGAATCTTGGTGGATCATAGAGATTTTTGCTACTCATTCTCATTCAGAGACCCAGGCTAACGGGTCAGAGACCATCTCCAGCACTGCAAATCCTCATGCCTAAGAGAGAATGGCAGGTTTTTCACTGCCTCTTACAGCTTCTGCTCAGATGTGACACAAATGAATTTTACTCATATTTTTTTAACCAAAGTCAATCTCATGGTCAAGAGAACATCAATAATAATAACAATGTATTTTTAAGTCAGGAAGAGTGTAAAACTAATGTTTAGTCTATCATAATCCATTATAGGTTTTGAGCAGAACACTAGGTGACTAGAGAAAGTGCTTTCCCACCCTTACTCCCAGGAACCAAAAGTAGGATGCATGTCTTTAGATCTATGTTGGCTATACGAGATACATCTAGTTACATGAAAATATATCTACAGGCAATATGGTATAGAAACCAAGGAATCATAGGATACAGAACTTAAGAAAACATCTAAGTTATTCCACCTTGAAGACATAATGATCACACTTAGTCACCACCAGCAGAAACAAGTAATCTAACTTAATTTCTGGTAAAAAAAAAAAAAAAAAAAAAATGCCTTTAACTTCACCTGGTTCCTGACGAACTTCAGTTTTTCCCAGCTGGTGAGCTGATGAGGCTCTCAGGCTTGAGAAACTGATGGATCTTATAACTGCTTTCCTAACTCATGTTACAACAGCTGCAGTTTTCATTCATAAATTACAAAATGAACTCTTTAAAAGTTTTTATAGTGGTCATTTGCTTCAAAACAGTCAGTGCCAATGAATTCGCAAATGTAGCTCTATGAGAAAGAAAGGGTCCCTGACCTTGACCAAAAGCACTGAACTGACTGTCATAAATTCTTGGATTTCATTTTCAAAAATCTTACACATTGTCATGATTCCCTGTGAAATCACTTCGCTCATATAAGGAAATGGATGAAGCTTATTTAGTTTTAAAGTACTTCTAGAGACTGAAATGAATTAAAAATAATTTAAAAAATCATAATTCTATACAATTATTCAACACCTTTTTAACAAAATAAACTTTAAATATATTCCGTTGCTTAAAAAAATGGTAGCTAAATAAGTTAGTGAATCTCAAGGACAGGAAATATGCATGTTCGAGGAACAAACTAGTGGAGTTTGTTAAGGATCAATATATTAAGTTCACAATAATTTTCTTTCACTTGTCCTACATATTAAAAAATTTTAGGCCGGGCGGGGTGGCTCATACCTGTAATCCCAGCACTTTGGGAGGCCGAGGTGGGTGGATCAAGAGATCAGGAGATCTAGAGCACCCTGGCCAAAGTGGTGAAACTCGCATCTCTACTAAAAATACAAAAATTAGCTGGGCCTGGTGCCGCATGCCTGTAATCCCAGCTACTCAGGAGGCTGAGGCAAGAGAATCGTTTGAACCAGGAAGTCAGAGGTTTCAGTAAGCCGAGATCATGCCACTGCACTCCAGCCTGGTGACAGAGGGAGACGCTGTCTCAAAAAACAAAAACAAAAACAAAAACAAAAAACCATAGAGACAAATGAAAAACTATTCATACAAGTATATACTTAGAGTGATTTTCTGTTTGAGAGATATTTTGTATGCTTTTCCTATTTTTCCATTATATGATTTGACATTTTAAGCTTCAAAATATAAAAGCATTTGTTAAAAAGTATACATTTTGTTCCTTTTTTTGTTTTAAAATATAAATACATATCCCTATTGTTTCTGTTCTATGTACTCCTATCAGTGACATAACCATTTGGAGTTTAAATAATTTTACCGAATGTGAGCCCTTTAACTTAAATAATGTTTTAAGATAGTGGACCTCCCTTTGCCTTGTTTACCATTTTAAGACAACAGTAGGCCGGGCGCGGTGGCTCAAGCCTGTAATCCCAGCACTTTGGGAGGCTGAGGCGGGTGGATCACGAGGTCAAGAGATCGAGACCATCCTGGTCAACATGGTGAAACCCCGTCTCTACTAAAAATACAAAACATTAGCTGGGCATGGTGGCGCGTGCCTGTAATCCTAGCTACTCAGGAGGCTGAGGCAGGAGAACTGCCTGAACCCAGGAGGCGGAGGTTGCCGTGAGCCGAGATCGCGCCATTGCACTCCAGCCTGGGTAACAAAAATGAAACTCCGAAAAAAAAAAAAAAAAAGACAACAGTAAAAATCACTGTACCTAAACTTCTCTAACATAAATGTAATTGACAAAGTATCCTCAAGATCAAAAATCTATTTGTGAAATAAATTCATTTTCTTTCCCTCCCAAGGTTTTGCATTTGAAATGGAATAGTCCCCAGGATTATAATACATTTTGAAGACACACTGATTTTTTTTAAAGACACTAATTAGCCTTCCTATTTTTTTTTTTCCTTAACATGGTTGGGCCCAATAGATAAAGCTTTTTGTAAATGTAAAATAATAATGTAAAGTTATGTTTTGCTGTAGATTACAAGTGTTGGTAAAAGCAGTAGTCTGAGGGATACAAATTTTAATGTTACTTTTTTTTGTTTTGTTTTTTTCTTTTTTTGAGACGGAGTTTCGCTCTTGTTACCCAGGCTGGAGTGCAGTGGCGTGATCTCGGCTCACCGCAACCTCCGCCTCCTGGATTCAGGCAATTCTCCTGCCTCAGCCTCCTGAGTAGCTGGGACTACAGGCACACGCCACCACGCCCAGCTAATTTTTGTATTTTAAGTAGAGACGGGGTTTCACCAAGTTGACCAGATGGTCTCGATCTCTTGACCTCGCGATCCACCCGCCTCGGCCTCCCAAAGTGCTGGGATTACAGGCGTGAGCCACCGCGCCCGGCCTTAATCTGTTACTTTAAAAGCATGATGGCTTATCCAGCATTATAATGAGAATATTATGAATGCAGATAGAACAATGGTTCTTATCTGAGATTGCTGGTGAAACATAGGGCTAGTCAAAAATACTTCTGAAATAAATAAAAATATTCTACCCAAACCCTACTTCTCAACTTCTCTACTTACAATTAGGGGAAAATACAGTACTGGATATGAGAAAATACCTATGCTACAAATGATCTGGGAGACTTTATGGGGTCTTCTTTATCCAGGATACTCTAAAGAATCAAAAAGACAGACAATACCAAGAAATGGTGAGGATGTAGATGTAGAGAAACTGAGACTTCCACACACTGTTGGTGAAATGTCAAATGGTATCGCCATTTTGAAGACAGTCCTGCACTACCTCAAAAGGTAAAACATAGAGTCACTCCATGATCCCAAAATTCCACTCACAGATCTAGACCCCAAAGAAATCAAAACACATGTCCACCCAAAAACTTGCACATGAATGTTTATAGCAGCATTATTCATAATGCCCAAAAAGTTGAAACCCCATCTCTGAATGCCCATTAACTGATGGAGGGTTAAATAACTGTGGTGTATCCATACAACAGGATATTATTTAGCCATAAAAAGGAATGGGACTGACATATGCTACAACTTTGATAAAACTTGCAAACACTGATGCTAAATGGAGAAAAGCCAGATGCAAGAAGGTCACATATTTTATGATTCCATTTGTATGTAATATTCAGAATAGACAAGTCCACAGAGACAAAGAGTCAATTGGTGCTTTCTAGGGGTTCTGGGACAAGAGAATGTGGAGTGCCTGCCATAGGGTAACAGTATTTTAGGGTGATAAACATTTTTTTGGAATTGGACAGTGGTGATGGCTACATAATTATGTTAATGTGTTAAAAATACTGAGTGGTATGTGAATTTTATGGTAAGTGAATTACATCCCTATTAAAAAGTACATTTTTAAACAAGAAAAATGCAACCTAAAATTAAATTTCTGATCTAACGTTCAAGTGAAGAAAGTCTGTTTCCTCTTTCTGGAACAAAATTGGTAATAATGTCAATCACCAGTTCTTCAAAAGCATATTTCATATTAACTTTGCTATTCTCATGTGAGAAGTGAAATTGTATTTCTTATTTTGATAAATCAAGAGGAATGGAACCCATGTTCTTCTAAATGAATTTGTCCTTCTCCTCTAATTTGTTCTGATCTGATACCAAGAACACACCTGAGGCTACATGCCTTCCTTCCAAAACGACAAAAGCTTATTCGTAACTATTTGTTTATACAGTGAATTTCCAAAAGCCAACACTGTCCTGAAAATAATGTTACTGGGTTTCATAAATGTCAGTGGACAATTAGGTGGTCTCATTCAGAAAGCTTTAAGCAAACATCTAAACTGTGTTCCTTTTTTTAATGTAACATTGAACTGAACTAAACTGAAATTGAACATACCTTCAAGGCTCAAGTAGACTGACAGTGAGTCAGAGTGTCTGTGTGTGAAAGATATATATATAGAGAGAGAAAGAGAATTTCTCTTTGTACTTCCATTCATGGAAATTGGATTTATTATTAGTTCTAAAAAGACTAATAGTCCCTCATTCAGGGATCTCAGCTGTTTTTAAAATTAAGATGTGTGTGCATTGAATTCATTTGAATCATGATGGACAGGCCTTGGCAAGCCCTGAGAGACCTCACTTACCCCTCCCAGAGCAAGGCAGATCAGAGCTTCCCTGGCACCTCCTGAGGCTCTCCTCAGCCGACAGCATGCATGACTGTGGGTGCTCACATTTCTTCCCATGCCAGCCTGCTTTGCAGTCACATCTTCCGCAGTTACACTGCCCGTGACCTTCACAGTGACAATAGCAAACAATAAAAAAAAGTATATAAAGTTAATGAAGTCGGAATTAGTTTTCATTCTAACAGCAAATGTCACAAATGAGTCAGGATCTTGATGAACACAATATAACGCATTAAGGCAACGGCACATTTTTCTCCAATTCTTAAATAACTGATTTACATGAATTGATCTTGAGGGGCAAGAAAAAGCAACCACTACAGATAAGATAAACAGTTGAGTAAGGCTGTAAACTTGAATCTGTCAAAATCCAGGTACATGTGATTGCATTGGTCTCCTGGGGACTAAAAGGAGTATCTGGGCTGGGTGCCGTGGCTCACACCTGTAATCCCAGCACTCTGGTGGGCCAAGGCAGGTGGATCACGAGATCAGGAGTTTGAGACCAGCCTAACCATCATGGTAAAACTCTGTCTCTACCAAAAATACAAAAATTAGCCAGGGTGGCGCGCACCTGTAATCCCAGCTACTCAGGAGGCTGAGGCAGGAGAATTTCTTGAACCCAGGGGGTGGAGGTTGCAATGAGGCAAGGTCACACCATTGCACTCCAGCCTAAGTAACACAGCAAGCAAGACTCCATCTCCAAAAAAAAGGAGTATAAGAAATATTTGGTGGATTTGGCAATTCGCATGGAAGGGAGACTTAGAAAAGGACAAATAATATATTTTTTGAAGGAGGATTTTTTTTGATTTTGCTTTTTAGACTCTATTTTTTATATACAAATGCTCCTTTCTCAGTAATTAATGCAATAAATGAAATTAAAATCAGTATGGATGTAGAAAAATTGATGTTAACAGCCAAGTAGACCTAATTAACATTTATAGAGCATTCTATCAAACAATATGAGAGACAGTACATATTCTTTTAAGACTTAGGGGGTTTTTTTAGAGCAGTTTTAGGTGCACAGCAAAATTGAGAGAGGTGCAGAGATACTCCATATGCCTCTCTCTCTGTCATGTGTATAGACTTCTTCATTATCAACAGTCCCCACCAGAGCTGTACACTTGTTATAACGGATGAGCCTACATTGACACATCACTATTGTACAAAGTCAGTAGTTCACATTAGGGTACACTCTTAGTGTACACCGTGTGAGTGTGAGTAAATGTACAGTGACATGAATTCACCACTGTAGTATCATACAGATATTTTCACTGCCCTGAAAATCCTGTTTTCTGCCTAGTCATCTGTCCCTCTCCCGCACCTCTCCCCAATCTCTGGTAACCTGATCTTTTCACTGTCTTCCATAATTTTGCTGTTTCCTTAATTTTACACAGTTGGAGTCATATAGTACATGTAGTCATTTCAGTTTTGGGTTTTTTTTTCAGTTGGTAATATGCATATGAAATTCCTCTATGGATAAATAAACTGTGGTACATCCAAAGAATGGAATATTATACAGAGTGGGATTGTTTTTAATGAACCATTGAATGGATCTCTGCTATTAAGGTCTCACAACCACAGTCAAATTGGGGGCCACAAACTGACAAAAAGCATGAAATCTAGAATTCAGAAGAGGTCCCTCTTTTTTTCCCCCAGATTTACTGAGCTATAAGTGACAAAAAAATGTAGATACTTGAAATATGTAACATGATGGTTTGATATGCATATGCATTGTGAAATGATTACCACAATCACGATAATAAACACATCCACCGTCTCACACAGTTACCTTTGTGTGTGTGTCTGCGTGCAGTGAGAATAAGATCTACTCTCCTCATACATTTCAAGTAGACAATATTATAAACTATAGTAACCATGCTGTACATTAGATCTCCAGAACATACTCATCTTAAACTTTGAAAGTTTGTAAGCTTTGATCAAAGTCTCCCCCTTTCTCCTACCCCCACCCCTCCACCCTGGGTGACCACCCTTCTACTCTGTTTCTAAGAGTTTGACTTTTTCAGATTCCACATATGAGTGAGATTATGCAGTGTTTTTTGTCTATGACTGGCTTATTTTACTTAACAAAATGTGCTCCAGGTTTATCCCTGTTGTGGCAAATGAAAGGATTTCCTTCTTTTTAAGGGATGAATACTATTCCATTGGAGATATATATGATAAATGTGTCTATATGTATCTATATATCATTTATATATATATATATATATATATATGTAATTTGTGTGTGTGTGTGTGTGTGTGTGTGTGTATCACATTTTCTTAACCCATTCATCTAATAACAGACACTTCTGTTTTCATATTTTGGTTATTAGGAGTAACACTGCATGACCATGGGAGTACAGACAGCTCTTCAAGATCATGATTTCATTTCCTTTGTACCTATGTCCAGAAATTCCTAGACCATATGATAATTCTCTTTTTGATTTTTTAAGGAAACTCCATAATACCTTCCATAATGTCTGTATCAATTTACAACCTCACTAACATGTAAGCAGGGTTCCTATGACTCCACACCCTCGCCAAAATGTATCTTTTGTCTTGATAACAGTCGTCCTAACAGGTGTGAAGTGATATCTCATTGTGGTTTTGATTTGCATTTACCTGATTCATGATATTAAGCATTTTTTCATATACCCACTGGTCATTTGCATATCTTCTTTGGAAAAATATCTTCAGGTCATTTGCCCATTTTTTAAATTTTAATTTATTATTATCATTTTGCTATTGAATTGTATGAATTAAATATACTTTCAATGTTTGACCTCTCCAAATCTCATGTGGAAATGCAATCCCCAGTATTAGAGATGGGGCCTGGTAGGAGGTGTTTGGACTGTGGGGGCAGATCCCTCATGAATGGCTTCATGCCGTCCTTTTGGTGATGAGAGTGTTCTTGCTCTCGTAGTTCATGTGAGATCTGGTTGTTTAAAAGAGGTGGCACCTCCTCCCACCCTTTTTTGCTCTGTCTTCTCTCTTGCCATGTGACGCACCAGCTCCACCTCCACCTTCTGCCATGATCAGAAGCTTCCTGAGACCTCACCAGGAACATGCTTCCTGTACAGACTATGGAAATGTGAGCTAATATAGACTTTTTTTTTTTTTTTTTTTTTTTTTTTTTTTTTTTTTTTTTTTTTTTTTTTTTTTTTTTTTTTTTTTTTTTTTTTTTTTTTTAAGATAGAGTCTCACTCTATCTCCCAGGCGGGAGTTCAGTAGCACAATCTCAGCTCACTGCAACCTCCACCTCCCAGGTTCAAGTGATTCTCATGTCTCACTCTCCCCAGTACCTGGGACTACAGGTGTGTGCCACCACGCCCGGCTAATTTTTTTAATTTTAGTAGAGATGGGGTTTTACTACATTGGCCAAGCTTGTCCACAACTCCTGGCCTCAAGTGATTTGCCCACCTGGCCTCCAAAAGTGCTGGGATTATAGGCATGAGCCACCATGTGCCTGGTCCCAAACAAATTTATTTTCTTTATAAATTACCCAGTCTCAGGTATTTCTTTGTAGTAATGCAAAAATGGACTAGAACTCACATATTTTGAATATTAACCCCTTTTTGGATATATGGTTTGCAAATATTTTCTCTCATTCCATAAATTGCCTTTTCATTTTTGTTATTTCCTCTGCTGCTGTAGAAACCTTTTAGTTCAATGCAGTCCCATTCATTTATTTTTGCTTTTGTCATCTGTGTTCTGGTGTCATATCCAAAAAATCATTGCCAAGACTAATGGCATAGAACTTTTCTCCTATGTTTCTGCAAGTACTTTTAAATTTTCAGATTTTACATGTAACTCTTTAATTCATTTTGAGTTGATTTTTATAAACATTATAAGACTCTAATTTCTTTCTTCTGCATGTGGACACCCGGTTGTTCCAATACCATTTATTGAATAAACTGTTATTTTCCCTTTGTGTGTTCTTGGCATCTTTGTCTAAAGTCAATTGGCTGTAAATGTATAGGTTTATTTCTATGCTGTCTATTCTGTTCCATTGGTCTATGTGTCTGTTTTCATGTTAATACCATACTGTTTTAATTACTATCGTTTAGTAATATAATTTGAAATCAAGAGCTATGGTGCCCTCAGGTTTGTTCATGCTGAAGATTGCTTTAGTTATTTGGGGTATATTGTGGTTCTATGTGAATTTTAAAAATACTATCTTTTTCTCCAATGTGAATGTGTATTCTTAGCACTTTTGCTGGCTGTCAGCCATGGGACTTTTGACAGGGATCACAATAAATCTGTAGATCACCTGAGGTAGTATAAACATTTTGACAATATTTATTTTTCCAATCCATGAACATAAGATATTTTTCCATTTATTTGTGACTTCAATTTCTCTCATTAATGTTTTATAGATTTTGATGCAGTGATCTTTCACCTCCTTGGTTAATTTTATTCCTAAGTATATTATTTTTGACATGACTGCAGATGAAATTGTTTTCTTGTTTTCTTTTTTTCTTTTTTTTTTGAGATGGAGTTTCACTCTTGTTATCCAGGCTGGAGTGCAATGGCGTGATCTCGGCTCAC